AAAATCTATATAGGGACCCACTTGTTTACTGTGCCTGGAGCTTTGCAATGTACCTGACATTTCCTGGGAATTGCTACATGAGCTGTCCCTTCAGGACACCAGGCCAGCCACACTTGCTGTCATAACCTGGTTCATCAGTATACTAGTACCTCCTTCCAAACCGCTTCAGAACAATTTCCCGACACTTGGCTTTCTGATGGAGAAGAGCATTGACACTAGGGATCTTTATGTGGAGAGAGTGCTTGGGAGCTTTTCCACCACCAGGGAGAAAGCTGAGATGCCATTCCTGAATTTTGGTGCTTAAAAACCCTAACCTAATTCTAAATGAGAAAGACAAAGTGCAATTCCTATGGTGTTTGCCAGGAATACAATGCAGATAAATGGGAGTATGACTGGTTCTGTTTTGGGGAAATACAGTATGGAAATCACTGTGGACAAAGCAGTTCTTGTTTTAAACTCAACTCTAGGCACGGATACCAAGGTCACTCTACCACATGGAACCAAGCTGGAGGAAGCAAAAAATATGGTTGAGACAAATAAACATAACTCCAGCAGATATGACATGAGAAATATTTAAAATTCAAAGGATGATTGCCCTAGCTGGTTTGACTCAGTGGATAGAGCATCAGCCTGCAGACTGATGGGTCCTGGGTTCAATTCCAGTCAAGGACACATGCCCGAAAGCAGCTGATCAATGATTCTCTTTCGTCATTGATGTTTCTATCTCTCTCTCCCTCTCCCTTCCTCTCTGAAATCAAATATATATTTGAAAATTCAAAGGATAATGAAATGAGCATCTACCTAGAGTTTACCAGGTTACTGCTAATATTTTTATGATGAATCCTAGGATTTGGTTCCCCTTTGCATCTGGGGAGCAACCAGCTTTATAACAGCACACAGAAGAGAATGAAACATCCTGAGGTTGCTCAGTGAGATACGCAATCTTCCTGTTCCATCTCACAGGCTTCATTCCAGCTCAGGCTCACTATTAAGGACTCACAGGAGGGCTGCTCAGGCACTCCATGGCTGGGATGTGTACCCCGCAGCCAGCATTGAGGCTGTCAAGATCAGCTAGAATGTCTGTAATCTCTGTTGATATCTGCTGGCTGCTGAAGTATTTCCCAGAATCAAATTACAGGGCTAAGTGTGATCTCCCAAATAGTAATAAGGATATGGGAAATGTGAAGGTTGTTGGACAGTTAGTTACAGTTGGGAATATGTAAAAATGATTTTTTGTTGTTGACTCTTCCACTCCAACTCTCTTCATATTTCCTAGCCTGCTAGCAAGTGTCTGGTAAAGTATAGCAATTTCCAATGAAAACATAGCTAGCTAGCTCTTTTTATGATTTGCTTGATTACACATGCATGTTGAAACCTCATTACCCATGTGATGGGATTTCTTTTGTGATGCTTGTTAAAATAATCAAAAGCAGACATATCACTAAATCATCACTCATTTTGATAAATGCTCCAAGGGACCTAGTAAGATGCAGTGATGGTGAACCTACTAGAAAAGGGTGGATCAGACCTAAAGGAGGAGAAGGATTCAAGCATGCAAAGAGTGGGGGGAAGAGCACATCAGGCAGAGGGAACAAATGTGCAAAGACTCCAAGGTAGGAGGTAGCTCTGAAGGGCTCAGCA